AGTCAAATTTTGAGTTGGAGAACAGTTTAAGTTTTTCATAGTGATGGCTGTATTAAAATATTTAACCTATTAAAATATTTTGTGTCTTACAATTTCATACATTAGTGAAGACTATTTCAACATTATTTGCTTTTATTTGTCAATAAATGAAATTAATTCTTCTTTACTATATTAACAGCTCATATTATAGTAGTATCATTATCATTAAGGCCACACCGTCTTAATTTTATGGATGACATCCGCGCGCGCATTGATTTTCGCCTGTTCTAAAAAAAAAGATCACGTCCACCGAGGCTCTGGCCTGGCTCTAGGCCTGGGTAGTCCGTGGTAGCTAGTGACAATACGGAGCCTGTGATAACTTTGGAGGATGGCACCCAGGCTGCCGAAGCTCCACGACTCAAGAACTCAGTACATACGTACAGTGCCGATTCATAAACTCCACCAAAAGCCAGCATGTGCCGGCTTGTCGTATTATTATTGTCGTACTAGCTTTGTATTCCTGTGGTTTAGTAGCATTTTTATTTTTGGTCGGATTTTTTTTATTCGCCCGCGCGCACTAGTTTGAGGGTCTTCAGAGGATGTCATCCATAAAATTAAGACGGTGTGGCCTAACGTCTCTGCTCCAAGAGTTTAAGTACCACCGTGACACACACGTACAGTGAGCTCGATGTAGTAATGTCAACTATAGACTACAAATTGCACAGATTTAGCCGTTTGAAAATCCTGTCAAACAGCACATGTCTGAGACCTACCATGCAACGTACAATATAACGTTATAGTTATAAAATAGCTATAGATTAGAGTCTATATTATGAAAAACTTAAACTTTTCTCCAACTCAAAATTTGACTCACCAGAAATTTTCGACTGAATCACTCAGTCTTCCTCAGCTATCTGACAAAAATGCTGTGGACACGTGATTTTTCCCACGTGTGACGTCAGCAAAGGGTCAAAGGTTGTCTGAAGTCGATATCGCCCCCCGTCCCGGTTGAGCGATGGTTGAAGTGCCCTGATTAGAGTCTATGTATGTATTTCAAAAGTGGTAAAATCTATAGTACAATTTCCTTGCTGGGCAGTACGCCGCATTTCACCGTTAGGCCACACCGCCTTAATTTTGTGGATGACATCCTCTGAAGACCCCCACTAGTGCGCGCGGGCGAATAAAAAAATTCCGGCCCAAAATAAGAATGCTACTAAACCACAGGAATACAAAGCTGGTATTGTGAATTTGCGGCAGTACATAGCGACGTATAAGCCGACACATGTTGGCTTTTCGCGGAATTTTTGAATCGGCACTGTACGTATGTACTTAGTTCTTGAGTCGTGGAGCTTCGGCAGCCTGGGTGCCGTCCTCCATAGCTACCACCCTCTACGTATTGTCGCTAACTACCATGGAGTACCCGGGTCTAGAGCCAGGTCAGGGCCTTGGAGGACGTAATCTTTTTTACTCCGTGAAGGAGGTCAGGACCTCCGGACGGAGTGTTCTGAACGGCTGATTTTTCATGTTCGCAGTCAAAACACTGGGTTCTCTTTGTGTAATCGGCACGCAATTTTATACGCCGTCTGCGGGCATGCCCGTGTTGATGCACGAATGTGTATTTTTGCCGTTGCTGCTTTCGCGGTCAATGTAATATTGCAGACGCACCCCTACAATTACGAGGCGAATTGGAATGGTCCAGAAAAACGCGTTGTTTGGAATAGCAGTGGGGGGGGGGTGGAACTTCATGCAGATACGGGGTGGTTTTGATAAGTGGTTCCAGATGTTTTAGCCCATGCTTAAGTGATGCCAAGTTTTTTGGAAGATGTTCGCAGCCAAAACGCATTCTTCCGTACGTCGCATTTCTGTGTAATTGGGCATGTGGTGTATACCATTATGTCCGTGATGATGCTACGTTTTTTTATTTTCACCGTAGCAGTTTTGATATTGAAGTAAATGCATATTTTAGAAACATCCCTACTTTTACAATCCTGTGGAATAGGCCGTAGGTTTAGGCAGTTGTCTGGTAGCAGAGGTTCTCTCAGTAACACTCGCGGTCCAGTCGCGCTTAATAAGTAACAGGCACGGTAAGACGGTGGGGCTGTCTTCGTTAATAGTGACACGACCATGATAGTCCGATCTTTATGTGAATGCAATGATTGTGTGCGTGTAATCAAAATGAACTTCGAACTTGAAGCACAGTATCTTTACACGCCCTGGGAGCAGTAATGGATTTGGGTCTTTTTATGTTTTATCATTGTGACGCGCCCTCATTGTATTAACCGTTGCCTAATGTCTGCACAGTAAGTCTGGCGTTGACGCTTGGGATTATTTTGTTGCAAAATATAAAATTTCACGGAGGATTGTCACCTATGGCTTCTTGTTACATGGTTCAAAGCATAGAACTCGAGCAAAGCACATAAAAAACTGAATTGGATGACACACAGACCACAAACCTGATAGTTGTACATATATGTATATTCTTCAGAACTCAAGAGAAGTAACGTTACATGATCATCTTTTATTGTAGTATATATTCAGTACTGTATATCTTAAGTCAATGTAGCAAAACTATATTGTTTGAGAATGACAAACGCAACGGAAAATATAACCTCCGGATTACATTTCATGGAGGTAATAATGGTTAGATTTTCACTGGTCACACCATAGTACTAGTAAATACGTCTGCTTCAAGAATTTAATTACGTATCGACCTAAAACAGTAAGCGCGGTCTAGTGATGTCTACATTACACTAAAAATTGCACAAACATAGCCTTTTTCACGATCCTTTTAAACAGCACATGTCTGTGTCCTACCAATATCTCATTCTACAATATATAGTGATAAAATACTAGAGTTAATGCATTTATTTCAAAAGTGGTAAAAAAAAACTATTTATTGTACAATTTCCTTGCTGGGCAGAACGTTGCGTTTCACGGTTACTGTTGCAAATAATGTCCAGTGTATTTATCTTCTTTCTAGCGGAAGTTGGCGTAGTGGTCAAAGCTGTCCAGATACTCCAAAACTGCCTGGTAACAGAACTGGTACTGGTCCTGGGGATTAATACAACAACATTTATGATTTTCAACATTAGCAATAAATCCTGTCAAGTTGATTTCCCATTTCTAAGAGCTATTTATTAGAATAATTTATGTGGTCAATGTCAGTATAAAATAGTCAGATGGCGATGATTTGATTTGATTTGATTTATTAGACTGTATCATGATACAGCCAGGACTGCCCAACTAGCCAAAGGCTATTATTAAGGTTTTTTTATTTATTTATTGAAACAACAAAGTACAAGACATGGTACAAGCTAATATTAATCACACCACTGACATAGAATACAAAGTACAGCTATGACAATGCCAAAACATCAAATGAGCGTTCGTATATACAAGAGTAACGGCAATATAAATCATCAGGCAACTGTATATCGTTGGGTATCATGTATAAAGGTTTGAGTATTATAAAGTTAAAGGGCTAGCCCTCACAACAAGAAAATAAACAATTAGGAACGTTAACAGGTAACAGTTAAGAGTGACGGCTACACTTCAGGATAACATACTATTACATGACAGATGTTGCGGCCTAACGTTAACAAGTTATGCAATCTGGCCCAGTCGCCATGTGTTTACTATGTCGATGTAAGGCCATGTTGATTTGATTATATGGATGACATCCTCCGGGAACCCCAAAACTGATGCGCGCGTGCGAATAAAAAAAAAGTTTTGAAAAAAAAAGTTGTTTTCATTATGAAATCTACGTGGTCATGAGGGTTGAACAAATGGGACAGAATATGGTTTGGCGAATTATCTAGTCTTCAAGTTCATTTCTTTACAATTTCGTCTTTTTTCGTTTGATTTTGGCATTCTGCGACATTGGTATAGTTTTTTCCGTAAATAATTTAATCAGGTTCAGTTTTTATTGGTATAGTTTTTATTTATTTTTTTTTGTAACTTACGGTATATTTTTGCTCATTTTGCAACTGTTTTGTACGATTTACAGTATGGTTGAAAACTTTTTTTTTTGGAAACGGCCGAAAATTCATGCGCGCGCGGATGTCATCCATATAATCAAATCAACATGGCCTAAGCTATTCCTGCAGCTTTTTATTTCTTCGAAATAGGAAGGTACATTGTAATAGCAGACAATGATAGGTTCATGCAGTTTTTAATGCAGTACCCACCAGTGTCTGCACCATGTGAGGCCGCTGCAGCCGGAGCGCCTTGACGACTTGGAACACGTCACAGATTCCTTCTGCTTTCACCCGCTCCAGCACCGTGCTGATGGCACAGAACGTCCCCGTGCGGCCAGACCCAGTACTGCAGGGAACATGCCAAGTTCAAACTGCTGAACAATATGTGAAATTCTGATATTTACAGCAACATTTTCCCCTCACATTCTGATATTTTGTATCACATTTCTTTTATCACCTTCTGAACGATTTTGGAAGTCAAGTTTTTGTGCGCAAGCAACTTAATCTTGTGCACCAGCGAGTTTTGTGGAAAAAAAAAAAGAAATGTGCCCTTTCACTGTAACTAACCTGCAGTGCACGGTGATTGGTCCGTTCCCAGACTGCTGCTGCTGCTTCTGGACCTGACCAATCAGATCGATCATCCCGGAGGCGTTGTCAGGACTACCGACTTCCGGCCAACCGTGGAAGTGGAACTGCTGCACCGTGCGGCTTTCTTCCTCCTGTTGGAATATGTACGGTAAAGAAATATTTATGTTAACCGAAGGAAAACATTGTTTTGCTCAGTTTCTTCCTCTTCTTCTTCTTCTTCTTCCAATCCAAACAAATAAGGTCAATGACCAGGACCAGACGTCTGTCACCATGGTAACGTGTTGGGTTACATAATGTCTCAAGTGCTATGCAGAACTTTTTGACTGTTTGAGTAGGAATAAATATAAAGCAGTAGTTTGTAAGCCTGGACCATGTGAAGATACATGTAAACATGATGCATTTGCTTTGCAAATGTTTCTTTTCTAGTGAAATATTTCATTTGATGGTTGAGATTTTTCATAATATGATTGCTTCAAAACTGTCATGGTTCGCAGGCATCGTAGAGAGCTACATGTATACTTTGGGTCGGCCTCGGGTGAACAAATACAAAGCGTGAGATTCATCCCCGCACGCGGGGTTGGCACGTTCGTGTGATCCGTCCCGTAGCACCGCGAGCGCACGTTGTCGGTACCTGGGACCCACATGCGTGCATCCCTTCCCCTAGTCTATCCTCCGATTTGGTGATATGACAGTGATAAACATCTATCAACTGACCGATATCCTACCTTTGTGTGGCGCACATGAAAGGTCCGCAGGTCATAGTCAGAGAAGGTCTCCACGCCCTGTGCTGTGACGATCACATCTCCAAAGGTCTGGAGCTGTTCATCCTCTGGCCAGTAATGGGCGCTTTTACTCTAAATACGTACAAAATGGTTATAGCCACCACAAAATTGTTTAGATGACAATAGATTTGTCTTAAACAGCACTAGCTTTATAAATGCTGCAAAACTGCGAAACCTGTTCGTTTCGTACATACAACCTATGTGTTTACTTCCTAAATCATTTCGAAAATAATCAATTAGTCCTAGCCGTGTATTCAATAGCTAACCGTATTTTAGCCGCCGAATCTCTTTCGTCCTCTCCGCAAATAGGTTAAAATAGGTTTGGAAGTGCTGCATATTACGGTGACCTGTTAGTGTTGACATAATCAATCAACTTTTACTTTTGGTACAGATTGAGAGTTGTGGTGCTAATATTGTTCAAAGAATAACGTTCCCGAGAGATATGTAAGCCTTTTAAGTTATTTTTTTTTAATATTAGCGCCACAACTCTCAATCTGTACCAAAAGTAAAAGTTGATTGATTATGTCAACACTAACAGGTCACCGCAATATGCAGCACTTCCAAACCTATTTCAAACTATTTGCCGAGAGGACGAAAGAGACTTACCCGTCCTTTCTCTTTGAGCTCCGTCAACATGACGATAGAGCAGGAGTTCCATTCCCACACCATCCTCCAGAAGTCCTCCACAGTCCGGTCCAGCGGGCCCTGGGTAGCGATGTATGCATCCTTCTGCCGGTACCCCTGCGACAAAACACTGGTGTAGTTAATCTCCAAGCAAATCCTTAAGTAGCTGGACCGTATACGTAGCGTGTTCGGCTCAGGACCAAGGTCCCAGGTTCGAATCCTAATCATAGACTATGTCATCGATATTGTGCACTTGAGAAATGCACTTTATACGACTTTCCTCACTTTATTCAGGTGGAAATGAGTACCTAGCTTCGGTTAGGGACGTCCCTTGGATAGGACATTAAATGGAAGTCCGGATACCGTGTTTGGGGAGAGCCACACCCCACGCACATCAAAGAACACTACAGTTCAAACATTACAGTCAGTGTCATCTTTCTTACGCAGCTTGTACTTAGGCCATGTTGATTTGATTATATGGATGACATCCGCGCGCGCATGAATTTTCGGCCGTTTCAAAAAAAACTAGAGTTCCCCGATCTCATACCTTCACCAAATGATGTTAATCTTTATGACTGACAAATTATACATTAGATTATTCCCCCGATTTAAGAAATAGGAACCTAATTTTCATGAATTATATCATTTTATCATAATCTCAACCAAAAGACAGTCTTATATTAACAAACAATGCATTCTAGCATTTCCTAATAAATTATGCAAATGAGGTCCTGATTTGAATAAATTATGTTTAATGATGTTCACCTCAATTTAACTTTCAAATACCACAAGTATGAAATTCCAGGCAGTTATCATTACATAATTATAAAATTTTCTCATTAATTATGCAAATTAAGTCATTATTAACATAATCAATATCTTCCTGTGTTTCTCTCGTTGTCAATTACCAATGTCACAAGCTTCAATTGTCCTATCATGGAATGCAGATGATTTATAGAATTTCCCCATAAATTATGCAAATTACATCCATATTTGCATAATTGTCACATAATTATATCAAGCATCACGTAAGCTACCTACATACCAAAAATCACGACAATCCGTCAACTGGTTCTTGAGTTATCCCCTTTTGAATATTTTCAAGAATATATCCCTGCAGTTCCAGAGCAAGCCGCTAGGGGGCCTAAACTCACGTCACTTCTTCCCCAGCGCAAGAGCTACCTACCATCCAAATTTCATCACCATAGCATGTCTAGATCATGAGATATCAAAAACGGAAGTTCAGCTGCAGTACCATAACAAGCCGCTAGGGGGTCCAAAATCTAATCATTTTGAGGTCTCATCAAGACCTACCCACCTACCAAGTATCAAGACAATCCATGAAGGCCTTCTCAAGTTATCGTGTTTACAGACAGACACACACACACACAAACACACACATACACGAACGCCCCTGAAAACATAACCTTCTTGGCGAAGGTAAAAAAGTTTTCAACCATACTGTAAATCGTACAAAACAGTTGCAAAATGAGCAAAAATATACCATAAGTTACAAAAAATAAAAATAAAAACTATACCAATGTCGTAGAATGCCAAAATCAAACAAAAAAAGACGAAATTGTAAAGAAATGAACCTGAAGACTAGATTATTCGCCAAACCATATTCTGTGCCATTTGTTCAAGCCTCATGACCACGTAGATTTCATAATGAAAGCAACTTTTTTTTGCAAAACTTTTTTTTTATTCGCACGCGCGCATCAGTTTTGGGGCTCCCGGAGGATGTCATCCATATAATCAAATCAACATGGCCTTACATGTACAAAACTGGTGTGTTACTAAAGGCGGTTTGTTAAACCTGTTATGTGAAACAAACAAACAAATACGTAGTCTGCGGCCTAAGAAGTCAAACTTTCGAGCCGATAAAATCATTGTGCGTTGACGATCTAACACGCGGCTCCGATGTCTGCTTGACTTGGTCCACGTTACTTTGTATCAAATGTACCCGTTTTTGCTCAGGTGTTCAAGTAAATAGATATGAATTTAATTTTTTTTCTGTGAAGTCTGAAATGTTGAATTCAAGGAAAGCAACTTTTGTATCTTCTAGACTGTTTTGACAGAAGATAAATACTTACATCGATGAAAGAGGCGTTGATGTAGTCAGAACCTTTCACTCCCGGTTTGTGTTTGAGAAACACACGTCTCGTGTCATCTGAAAAATATGTAGTTGTTGCCATAAAAATATTTTATACGAGAAGAAGAAGAACATCTGAAAAATATGTATAGTTGTTGCCATAAAAATATTTTATACGAGAAGAAGAAGAAGAAGGCCTCCCGTGCTCTTGCCCGAGCGTAGGGTGGTGCCCATCTCCATTTCGTAGCCCTTGGGCGACACACAATTGTGCAATGCACTACAGCAGGGGGCTAGTCCGCTGGTAGCGCTGTGTGTTTGACCTTCCCACACTCTTTCTCATATGTGCTGAGTGCTAAGCAGAGAAAGAAGTGTGTACCATTTTTTAAAGTCTTTAATTGGTATGACCCGGCCGGGGTTTGAACTCACGACCTCCCGGTTACAAAGCGAGCACTCTACCAATTGAGCTATTGCACACGGTTATACGAGAAGGGTTATACACTTTTCTTCAAAACTGTTGTAGAGTACAATGTGTGACGTTTTGTACTACGTTTTCCAGACTAACTCTTACGATGCTGCCATTTTTCGAATTCCTTTGTGAATAGTCTATATTCGACCATCTCCTTTAGGCCACACCAAGTAAATTTTATGGATGACGTCCGCCCGCGCATTGATTTTGGCCTGTTCCTAGAAAAAAAAACATGAAATTCCGCTTCCTGTAACTATGACCAAAGAGTCACGACAGTGTCGCAAATCACCAGATTCATGTGAAACCCGTAACGCGAAGAAAGTGTCCATTGACAGGACCATCCTGTCAATAACAGAAAATATGCACTATTGACAGGATCTAGGACCATCCTGTCAATAACAGAAAATTTTTCACTGTCCACTGTTCCACCTGATTTATTGCTGTTTGGATGATGAATAAAAGACTTCTTGCTTGTTACACTGTGTCACCTCATTCAATTTGTCGTCTCAGTATATTTCTAATCTAGGCTTCTTGTTTTTTAGGGCCCTTCTTGGTTTTTTTCGCCCTCTCGCATTTGATTTAGGGTCTCCAAAGGACGTCATCCATAAAATTTACTTGGTGTGGCCTTACTTCAGAGGGAAGATTTAACTCAGGCGTTCCTGTCTTCCAAAATGAAGGCTATCAACAATGTTATGGCTTTTGCTACTGTCTTAATTTAATATAGTGGTTATACATGTACCATGTAAATGAATCTGACTATGAAATATGTTATCAATGTACTCACAAGGCAGAATCTGCAGCACTCTATTCTTGTTCATGTTAGCAGGTAGGTTGCCACTGCGCATGTTCGCACGGTCCACTGGTAGTCGTGTCAGTTTCTAAACACATACAAACATGAAAAATGTTCAAATAAGATCCATATCCCAACTGTTGCGATAGTGATGGTTTTGATCAGAGCAATACGAAAAGTGGCGTCGGTGGGGCAATGGTTAGAGCGTTGAACTCGGAATCAATAGGTCCCGGGTTCGAAACTCACCATGCCCCAACGTTGTGCCCTTGGGAAAGGCACTTTACACTATTTTCCTTTCCTTGACGGTGGAGTAATGCCCTCCGAGCCTCTTAGGCTAAGCTGTCTAACTGTGTACCCAAAATACACTACGGATTTGGTGGCCCAATTTGGTGCACATTTGCCACCATGAGCCGTAATTATTATGTTTTTAATAAGAAAATATAAAGACCAAATCTTGTCACGTTTTAGAAAATCAAACCACTAGTAGGTATGTGTCTAAAAGCGATGCTAGCAAACCTCAAATTCTATCTCGAAGCCCGTCTTGTCTTTGCCCGGCTGCTCGGTCCTGAGTTTGTGCATGTAGTGGTGGATGTTCGCCACTTCCACCTCCGTGTCTCCGTACAGGTACTGTTCCAGTAGAGCCCGGTAGATAAACACGTACTGGGCCTGGTGACGTTAAAGACATTAATCATATCAGACGTCGACCAATCGGAACGCTCCATTGGTTATCAGACCGTAACCTCAAAAGTGGTCGGATACTGAATAACAGACCACTTTTTGGACCGTACCATTATACAGCGGACGGGACACTAACAGTTGTGTTAGGACTTGTAGTAAGACTCTACTAAAACGTATTATAGTTTTTTTTAATAATTTACAAGGGATTATCTCACCATCTACACCGAGGATAAGGCGAGGCATTAACCCTTTATTGCTGCTTTGTATATTCCTTACAGGATGTTATAAATGGAATATAAGTGGATTAATCGTTGATTATTTATGAAGGTTTCACATCCAGGAAATGGGATACCAAAATAAAAGTTACACAGGCACCTGTGACACATTAGAACTGTCGACTTCAGATATCTTTTAGTCTTTTACTGACAAAAGGTATTGGATGCTGCTACTTGAAACGTCTGACTGTTTCAAAATCTATCCAGTTGCTTTTGTAATTGTTACCCTGTGCTTATCTCTGTTATGATTTGACAATTTTGGGGTTCGTGTATACCCTGGGTGGATGAGTCTTGTTGACAGTTTAGTTGCCCCGACGGTAGTATAGACTGCTATGGGACCGGTGAGGTGAATATATACAAAAAGTAATTCTTCTGTTCTCACCATATTTGATATCAACTTGATAGTAAAGGATTAATGCCCCACATTATGCTCGGTGTATATGGTGAAATAATCCCTGGTCAAGTGCGATAACCACCCCATGAACCCCCTCGTTCGCTACGCTCACTTGGAGGTTTATTCGTTAGTTATATACACATCGGGGTAGGGCATTTAACCCTTCATTAATACATGGAACATTGTAACGGATTGTGTTAGATGTTGCCTGTACCTCTGTCTGGACCATGGTGCTCCTGTTCTGCCGCATCCTGGAGACAAACCCGAACACGTCCACTTTCTCTTCAGCCTGCATCATCTCCAACATGGCGTCTACCGTCAGAAACGTCCCCGTGCGGCCAACACCGGCACTGCAGAACACAGATATTCATGTATCTAACGATGAAGAACCAATAACTAGAACACAAAATGTGAAAGATATAATCATGGAATGACGATAAACCCTTGTCATGTGCACGAGAAGCTCCATCAAGTACTCAACAAGTATCACTGAGCAATTATTTTGTTAGCCAGTGTCCTCACTATGACTAGTATGAGACCGAAAGAAACAGATTATTTCAGACAGTTAGAACAATTTCTCCATCATTTCGTCATTTAGAAGATCACCAAAAGACTACGTTTCTACTAAGATCACAAAACCCACTAATTATGCAGAATGTGGGACTATTCATTATCCACTGCCTTCAAAGAAGAAGTCGAACCCCATAATAGCTAGCGTAGTAGTAGAAGTAGAAGTTTTTCCAAACAGATGTTACCTGTCTCCTGTTACTGTATTGCAATGTAATGAGTATCATACTTGATTGTACAAGCAATTAGCCTTCGGGCATGGTTTTGCAAATAAATTTTCAGTCATTATTACATTTAGATTGATCAGACTTCCTTTCTTACTATCAAATGTGCTTTCTACCTGCAGTGAACAACGATGGGCGTGTCCTTTGCGGTTGTCTTGGTAACCACTGTCCTGTGGAACTTGAGCAATCCCATGGGGCTCTGCGGCAGCCCGTAGTCCGGCCAGCCGAGGAAGTGAAACTGGGTGACCTGACGACGCCCACGGACGCCTTCCTGGTTGTTTGTAATAAAGAGACAAAGTGCTGTTGATATCAAAGAAATTATCAAAACTAAGGCCATGTTGATTTGATTATATGGATGACATCCTCCGGGAGCCCCAAATCTGATGCGCTCGTGCGAATAAAAAAAAGTTTTGCAAAAAAAAAAAGTTCTTTTCAATATGAAATCTACGTGGTCATGAGGGTTGAGCAAATGGCACAGAATATGGTTTGGCGAAAAGTTCATTTCCTTACAATTTCGTCTTTTTTCGTTTGATTTTGGCATTCTACGACATTGGTATAGTTTTTACTTATTTTTTTGTAACTTACGGTATATATTTGCTCATTTTGCAACTGTTTTGTACGATTTACAGTATGGTGGAAAACTTTTTTTTTGGGGGGGGAAACGGCCGAAAATTCATGCGCGCGCGGATGTCATCCATATAATCAAATCAACATGGCCTAATAAGGTAACATTTGCAAAGCAAATGCATCATGTTAACCTTCACATGGCCCAGCTTAACAAACTACTGCTTTGTTTATTCTTACTCAAAGACACTCATATACATGGTGACCATGCAGCCCCTCTTGAACTTAGTTGTGCATGACACAAGTGGCTTGCAACATTATGTAACCTAACACCAGTTACCATGGTGACTAACGTCTGGTTCGGGTCATTGACCTTATTTGTTTGGAGAAGAGGAAGAAGAATCAGAGCAAAAACAATATGTTTTCCTTCTGCGAAAGTAAACATAACCAACTAGTAGAGCCAACAACATTCATAGCAGTTTCAGAAAGATGTTTAGGTATCTTTAACAGGAACTTATGCTTTCAAACAAATGATGAAGCTATGGCTACACTAATTTTAGATATTCTGCAACCTTGTTTATATTTACGGCCCTGAATTTGAGATATCAATAGCTGGATTGTAATCTTGAAAATCCTTGAGCTGGCCTAAAAATACAGCATTTAGAATCCGCATTTGTAAATCACTTTCACATAATGTAATACATATGCAGTTACCTTTGTGACCAGAAATATCCGTGTCAATTGGTCCACCATAGGGATGGTGTCAACTATGGTGACGTCAATATCACCATAAGACTGTTTCCCACTGTCGGGCCAGTACTGGGTGCACTTTTGCTGTGGAGGGACATAAACAACGTCACATCTTCAACAAGCTACCAATAATGATCGATAGATAACATAACACTAGAGTATATGTGTTTACAAGGAGCCTCTACTGGCCGCACTTTTAAGACATTTGTATGTGATTTGTGTATCTGTACTTGTTTTTGTATTGTCCCTGTTTTTATATGGGCCTCTGGCCTGAAGCAAAGAATAAATAAAATATAAAATGAATAAATAAATATCTCAAGCTACATTACGGTTCCTTTCAAATGACATGTAACATGGCTAGTTATGAGATAGACCATGCTGGTTTGTCGGTTATTAAAACCAATCAAACCCAACAATAACTACAAATGTATATCTAAATTAGCATTATTAGCATTACTTATTATCATTTCTACTGTTTATTTTGTTAATCATGTTCTTGCAATTAGCCATCGGGCATGACTTTGCGATAAACTTTCCTATTAAAATGGAACAAAAACATTGGAACCTTTGTCGTGCATTCATGCCCTATCGGGCTAAGTACAGGTAAACAGATACAAAGGTATATACATGTTTGTAGTACACACAGGACTACTGATTCTAGCTCTAAAACTACTCTAATAACGTTACAGAAGTTCGGCTTCTTCTCGTTTCTTTGTGATGTTAAAATAAGATTTGAAATGGGTTTAGCATGAAAGTTCATCTGTGTTGGTACAAATCAGTATGAAATAAAGACTGAACTTTAACTTCCAACACTAGATATACCTGAACAGAGACGGGGGGCGACACAAGTTATCTGGCACGTATGACCCGCTACTACGGTCACGTGTCTCTGACGCACGTTCCAAGAGTAGACGGGTCCATTTCGTGAACAAGGTTGATGGAGTCAACCGAAAATTTGGGGTAAGTCCCAATTCTATATCTAGTGTTGGAAGTTAAAGCTAAGTCTTTATTTCATATTGAAATGGGTTTGTTTAATACAGGATGATCAAAGTAGATAACAAAATTATATTCACGTGCAGAAACGGTATAGAGATTGGAAATTGTGATTACCTTATTGTTCTCCTTTAGATTGGTCACCATAACTATTGCCTTTGACTCGGTTTCCCAAATCATCCTCCAGAAGTCATTCACCGTATTGGGCAGGGGACCTATTCATTTATTTATTTGCATTTAGCACATACATACATAAGGCCATGTTGATTTGATTATATGGATGACATACGCGCGCGCATGAATTTTCGGCCGTTTCCCCCCAAAAAAAGTTTTCAACCATACTGTAAATCGTGCAAAACAGTTGCTAAATGAGCAAAAATATACCATAAGTTGCAAGGAAAACATTTAGAAACGATACCAATGTCGTAGAATGCCAAAATCAAAGGAAAAAAGACAAAAATGTAAAGAAATGAATTCGAAGAGTAGATTATTCGCCATAACATATTCTGTGCCATTTGTTCAACCTTCATGACCACGTAGATTTCATAGTGAAAGCAACTTTTTTTTTTTGCAAAACTTTTTTTTTATTCACACGCGCGCATCAGTTTCGGGGTTCCCAGAGGATGTCATCCATATAATCAAATCAACATGGCCTTACTAACGTGAAGAGTAATCAACTCTTTCTTACCTTGTGCTGCTATGAACTTCCTTGCAACATTGTAGCCCTATAACATGAACAATATTGCCGCATAATTAAACGTGTACGTACAAAAAAGTCAGTCAGCGATGAATACCAACCCGTACGTGTAAGCTTACGAGGGCCCAGAATAGTCGGTGTCATTAAAATTACACAAAAAAATTCACAAAAAATCTATAGCTATTTTGATATATATGTACAAAAGCTCCTGTGTTTTGATTAAAACCACCATTATGCACATCTGACCAAAATATTAGCCGTGGAAATTGAGTCGTTAGCCAGGGAAATTAATGTTTTGTAGAAATGGGCGTGGCCTATAACTATTGATTACGTCATCATGACGTCATACAAATTTGCATAAATTATCATCTTGCAATCAGGTACTTGGAGAAAAAAAAATCAAGATCCATACTTAAGTCTAAGTACTATTTTTGATACCTCCCCAAAATTCACCAGCAGTGCCCTGTGGCTACCTTAATCCAGTGTGTAAGAACATTATTCGTATAGCAAACCGACAAGATTGACACAGTAATCATAGTAGCATATTCTTACATGAAGCTCACAATGAAGTCATACAATGAAGCAAACAATTTTAGAAAAACATTCAACCTACGTCCATGTAGGAAGCGTGGATGTAGTCTGATCCGGGAGTGTCAGAGATAGGAGTAAGCTGTACACGTGCATTGTCGTCTGAAAAAAAACATGCGATAAAACTTTGTTACAAAGGGGACATTTCTACCGACTGTTCTAGCCCTACTGTCATTTTCTATCCAGAAGGTTCTCTCCGATGGAATATCCACGACGTCTGGATTCCATTGCCATTGTACATCGTATAAAAGACCCGCCGGTTTTTAGACCATCCTCTCGTCCCGTTAAAATATTGCACCGAAAGTTCAGCACCAAGGACAGGGGAGGGGCCCGGTGGCGGATGGGCCGGAGGTGTGCCTAGACCGGGTGTCAAGGGCTTCTCTCATCTTCGGTCGCTTGCCGCTCTTGGCGACCGCTCATGATCAATTTTGATAGATTGGGATATCAATCAGAAACCACGATACGATATATCTAAACAGGAACTTTAACAGTAACTTGTTTGCCGTCCTTTTGGAGTGAAATAAAGATGTAGCACATAAGCCACAACTGTTGGAATATCTCAACTACAACATCATGCTTTTCATACTGAGGGAAATGTCTACCCGTGCTCTATGCAGAGCATAGGATTTTGTGCCCATGTCCATTTCCGTAGCCCTTGGGCGACACACAGTTGTGCAGGGCGCTACAGCAGGAGGCTGGTCCGCTGGTAGTGCTGTGTGCTTGACCTTCCCACACTCTTTCTCATATGTGCCGAGTGCTAAGCAGAGAAAGAAGTGTGTACCATTTTTTAAGTCTTCGGTATGACCCGGCCGGGGTTTGAACTCACGACCTTCCGGTTACAAAGGGAGCACTCTACCAACTGAGGTATTGAACCGGGAAATGTATATAACACAAATACCTACAGGCAATGATGTTCTTGAACCTGTTCTTTTCCATGTTGAAGTCGCTGTAGTAAGCTTCGGCGTGTTCTCTCCCTAGTGTACGCGGAAGGGCCTGGGGATAACACATGTGATATCGATGTTAGGAATGTCACGTATAGAACGAGTCTTTGTATGCCAATCGCCTACGTTAATTACCGTCTTGTAAGCGGTAGTCAACTTTTATAACGGTCGATGCTATATCACAGAACGGGTAACTATAAGTGTATCAGCACGATCCGTCCACAACTTTCTTGGTGTAGACAGTAGAGGGTTAGGTTAGAGCTACGCTTTTTGATCCGGATTCGAATCCGAGCTTGTGCTTTTTCTTTTTTCACTAATACCTTTTTCATTATCCTCCCTTACATTTACGATAAAAATGTTGCTTTTTATAGTATATATTACGTTTCATACGTTTTTGGACTTTTAAAAAAGTTATGATACGCTCGGATATGGCATCGACCAGTGGCGACGGCCGTTCTGAAAGGCGACGACCGTTTACGAGACAGAAATTTGCATATATCGTCTACAGTTCAAAGCGTTCACCTCTTACGAGTGAGCTACATCTTAAACATCTTTATTGATAAATTGAAAAAAAATTACGATACCCAACGTGTTCCAATACCCGAATAAATGGATTGGCTAAAAAGAATAATTCATTTTCTTACCGAGAATTCTTCCGAGAAGATCTGGTTGTCATGTGAGGTTCTCCTGTCAAACTCTGCCTCCAGATTCGTGATGGCTATTGGCTCATCAAACTTGGGTGTTTGTACAGGTGCCGAAGGCTTCTTGGCTGTAAGAAACATTACAAAACATATCAAGTCGGATAAAGCCTCACATATTGATTCAATATATACGACTGTTCTAGTTATACATACATTAAGTTTGTATTTATCTAGTAGCCTCTATCAGGCGTCGGGAGGCAGCTAGGTAGAGTAGAGATTGGGCGAACAGAGAGGTAACATGCCGAGGGAGTTGGTCCGCTAGAAAGTACAGTTTGCCGCACGCGAATGCAGCAAACTGTACGGCCAACGTAGCCTCTACCAGGCTTCAGGAGGCAGCTGGAAAGAGTAGAAATCAGTCAAAAAGAGCTATAACATGCAGAGGGAGTTGGTCCGCTAGACAGAACATTTTGCCGCACCCGAAACTATTCTCTCCAGCAGACCAACTCAACTGGCATGCTATCTCCCTATTTGGCCGATTTCTACTCTTTCCAGCCGCCTTCCGAAGCCTGGTAGAGGCTACGCCGAACTCCCTCGGCATGTTGTCTCTCTATTTGGTAAATCTCTGCTCCAGTCAACGTCATCTCTCTCTCATTTTTTGATCTTGGTTCTCTCATAAGTTCTCTGAAATCTGAGAAACATTTGACAACAACAAACCTGGTGGTTTTGGCGGCCGTGGCGTTGGTTTTGGTTTTGGTTTTGGCTTGGGTTTGACCGCAAGTTCCTCCTCGGTACCGGCGTCCACAGCAGGCCCGACCGCGCCCTGTAACTCGTCCTTAGCCTCCTCTGGAGTCGCTACCGGCGTCAGCGGAAAGTTTGCTGCTGGGATACTCTTCTTCGCCGCTGCCCGTCGTCTGCGACACAGGGAGACAGTATTTGTTTGTTTGTTTCTTTGTTACCTCCATGAAAAATGGAGGTATTGTTTTTGGCGTGTCTGTCTGTTTGTCTGTGTGTGTGTGTCTGTCTGTCTGTGTGTGTTTCCGCAACTTTGTAGTCAGCATAACTTCAGAACGCCTTTATGGATTGTGATGATATTTGGTATGATGGTAAGTCTTGGAAAGACAAAGGTCAAGGTCAAGTATGGGCCTCCTGGTGGATGACCTTGGTACTGCAGCAGAACTTCCGGTTTTTGTATCTTTTTTCCTGAACAATAACAAGTTGTCCTCGTTCTCCCTAACACTACAATATAAATACAGATTGCAATATTAAATACAAAAACAGTATACAGTATTGAACATTAATAACACGAAATACAAATTCCTACAATATCACACATTAAACATGAAATACTGTATAATGTCATGAAATATCGTACACTATATAAAAAATGGCAATGATTAAAAGCCAGTAATAAGGCCAGTGAGGTCGTAAAGCCGTACAGGAGGCTCACCTATGAAAAGGTACAGATAGTCTACATTATTCTGTGATGTTACCGCGGCCTGCATATGAATGCAGAAGTCTAACGAAAAAGTAACGGAAAACTAACGGAAAAAGTAACGGAAAACTAATGAAAAAGTAACGGAAAACTAACGAAAAAGTAACGGAAAAGAAACGCGTTAGTAACGGCCGTTAGGGTAACTATAACGGGAACGGTACTGTAATCTCACCTTGCTTACGTTTCGGTGTCAATCAGACACCTTCCTCACAATTTCTGCTTCTCGCCGCTATATGTAGCCGGTGTAGGTGGCGCTTTTGATACACCTATATCCTATATTCTACTAACCTGATCAAATTATTTTCGGAAGTAAAGATAGTCCCATGGCCTTATTGAGGCCGTCGGGGCAGTGGGGTTTATGCCACGGACTGTGTCTAGGGCACGGCATCAGAAAGCGGAGCCCATCTCCCTTCTTTCCTTCCACCACCCTTTACTCCCCCAACCGAAGTCAGGTACGCATCTTACACCTGGATACAGTGAGGAAAGCCGTGTAAAGTGCCCGAGAAAAGGTCCACCGGAACATGTCTATAAACTATAAGGTGAACATAACATTACGTTATCTATTAGAACTCAATGCTGGAACCGCTGTTTTGATATTGAGTACAATATTTCGTGTTACCTGTAAAGTAAGATGCCTAGTGCAGTCACTAATACCAACAGCACGCCGACGGCAGCTCCGATAGCTATCGGAATCACTGCAGTAGTCACCACATCTGTTTGTAGGATAACATTTTCATGTGTGATGCGTTGATGAAGGTTAGACATTCAGGTAAACAATACTGATAGGAAATTCAAACGTTTAAACTCTACTACTTGAGAAATTACGGAGATAATTTCCAGACGTTTCTAGTGACATCTACCACTCTTCTTCAGCATCACTAATGAACTACCAGAACTCGTTAACACATACTAGTATATATATAGAGCAATTGGAAAAAACAGTTGAACATGACAATGACTCATATAGCCTTTGATATGTAACGGAGATGTGACTCATGGCAGCACAGTAGTAATTAGTTAGTAATTCCTTATTTTTTTCACTGTACTGTTATGTTCACTGTTTTCACTGTCACTTCTGTACCGTGAACTTATCATTACAGTTAACAAATGATTCCTGGACTTTCTTTTTCCTGCACCTGTCACCGCCGTGAATATATAGTTCCGTGAACTTTCTCAGACCGTGAAATTTTGCTACCGTGAACATAAAGTGAATTGCAGTACTCTATCTTTGAAAGATTCCAGATAAACTGAGAAATGAATAAGTCACATATATATACAATATGTAAAACTAACCTTGTGTGACTACAGGTTCTATAAAGCTGCTCGTAGCGTACAACTGTAATTAAAAAATCATTCAGGTCAAATAGCTTTGTTGGTTTACACACACCAACAACTTAGTAGTTAGTAATACGTTTTTAGTATTTACGGACAATTAAGACAATGAGCTTGATATAAATATTTTGCAACTTTTGAAATTCCGACTGGTGGTTAAAGTATGATTATAGCTGAATTATTAGCGCTATTTAGGATAAATGTATGGCAAAATGAGTTATATGAATGTATTGTCATTGTCATACCTTTTTGGTGTCCCTCTTCCGCCTCCCACCGGAAACGGAAGTGTCCACGTAGACTCTGACCACTGCTGTGTACTTCGTCGCCGGCTCCAAGGCTTTGTCCCCGTGATCCTTTGCGCGGCCAGATGTTGTGACTTCGCTTCGTCTGCAGCACTCGTGATCACACCCTACCCCCGTCCCGACATCCACTCCTTCTGAAACTAGCTGTCTGTACTCTTCTCTGATCAAACAAAAGAATACATTTCAATCTGCAAATCTGGTGGTATGTTTCCATGATCAGGGGTGCCAGAGTATACGGTGCAATTTTACGGAATACAGTGCAAGTTTACTAGTATACAGTGCAATTTTACGGAATACAGTGCAATCGTATTAGTATACAGTGCAATTTTACGGAATACAGTGCAATTTTACGGAATACAGTGCAATTTTACAGAATACAGTGCAATTTTATTAATGACGTTGTTATGACGTAACCTGGGCCGGCTTTCCAGGGACGCCGCTGCACTGACGGAGCGTACTCACATATTTCTGTGTTTTTCGGGCGAATTTGGACCGTTCTCGTAGATAGACCTTTATCAAATCACTACATACTACACACAGGGCACCGGGATCATTTCGAATTCGCTCAAAAAAGACAGAAATATGTGAGTCAGCGACCGCGTCAGCCATCTTGAAACTCAAGGAAAGCAGGGTCCAAGTCACGTGATTCAACGTCATTAGTAAAATTGCACTGTATTCCGTAAAATTGCACTGTATTCTCATACGATTGCACTGTATTCCGTAAAATTGCAATGTATACTCTGGCACACCTGATGATGCATTGTTTTTTGCCCCCTCTTGCAATTTTGTCTTTTAAGCTTGGAACTCAACACAACTTTGTTTAAATCTGTGAAAATTGTTTCAATATTGTTCTAATTTGTTCTAATAGAACATTTCAATATGGTATATATGCCATTAGTCGTGGCAAAACACTTGCTTTTTCCTATTTCTTGACAGTATGCGTCAAAAGCATGATAAAAAAATAAACCTTACAGTAGGGTACGCCGAAAAAAACCGTTACTCAAGTAACTGGGTATGATTTTGGAAACGGTCAGACGTTTACTTTTCTGACAACTCTCCAGTGTCACTGACGAAAGGTAATGGATACTAGCTGAAACGTCTGACCATTTCCAAAATCATATCCAGTTGCGTGAGTAACTGTTTTTTTGGCGTATCTTATTACCTGGATGTCTAAACCTTCACCGACGTACCTTCATCATCATCATCTATCATCCTCCGAAGAGGTGGAGCATACAAAGTTAGATCTCCAAAACTGTTTGTAATTCATCACAGAGATAAGTTCCTGGCCCTCCAAGCCTGTTTCACTTTCAATAAGGTTCTTAAGTGTTATGTTTGAACTCTTCTCTTTGTATGAGGGTTCCAAAGTAGAAGCCTACTGGCTGGTTCTTCACTACGTACAACATGACCGGCCAAGCTTAGTCGTCGACATTCAACTACTGTAGTTACATTTGGTAACGAACCGTATAACTGTTCATTAGTAGTATGTTTCCACCACGGTGTATTGAAAACTACTCGCAGCATCTTCGTGTATGTTCCGTTTAGTTTTCTAGAATGTGACATATTCATGACCCATGATTCTGACCCATACAAAAGAATTGTTTCAATACATACCTTAAACACTTTGATCTTAGTTTGTTTTCTACTGGGCGCTTTTCAAACCTTATGTAATGAGTGAAGAGCACTTCATACCTGTACATGTACCTTACTGTAGGGTAATTTAGAGGAACCTACCTAGAAAAGCCGAGAGCAACGTAAGGCTCCGTCTGCCCTTCTAGTGGTGCTGAGTCTGTCAGGATGACGTCTGGCGCTCCAACCCGTCTCTCCAGACCTGCCAGGGTCTCATCTTTCCTCATCTTCACAACAATCACCTGGTAACAGCTAATGACGATGGACAGAAAAACGGAGAATATTCATCGAAGATTCAAACAAGATTATGCATTGACCATTCATTCATTCTTTATTTCAGGTAAAAACTCTTATAACACAGTACAACATTAAAATAATACAAAAACTTTACAGACATACAAATAAAACAGGAAGAAACATAAAAGCATAATAAATTGTAAGTCTTTCGGAAGAATGAATTCCTGTAAAAGGCATCGGAACTTATTAAGCGACTGATTGTTGCGTTGTTGGAGGATTGTTGTTATCATCATGAAAGTTCATAGTTGTAGTTACATGTTTAAAGTTAAAACTTTTCGTCCAACACAAAAAAAGTTCTCTCATCTAGAGCCACGTGACAAGCTTCAATGGGTCTGTCTACTGAGGAAGACCAGAGTGACTGGTGGAAAGCTCTAGGTGAGAGAACTTTTTTGTGTTGGACCAAAAGTTTTAACTTTCAACATATTGTTATTATCATTTATTTTTTAAAGTTTGAAAAAGGTTGTGTAAAAGGATTGTACTGTTGCCTCTGATCCTGTTTTCAACCCTGTTTTGGAGCTAAAATAAATGAAAACATAATGAGGGATAACTTATTGACTTTCCACAAAATTCTAAGCTTTTAAACACAGGTCAGCCATGTCATCATTTGAAATAACGAGTTTAAGAAGCTCACCTTATAGGTCCATTTCTCTCACTCACGTCCGGGAGGTCCATGTGAAAAGTCTTGGCAGTAGAAACCACGGGTACCGCTGGACTGGAGGGAAGCTGTATCACTGTAGGTGGTTCTATGTGGCAACAGGAAAACTTGATTATATACAAAGGCAGATGCCAAAACCATGTTGCAAAAGCGATTGTTGGAAGACAAAGGATTCTCTCAATGGAAACACGATGCTACAGGGAAATCCTGGGCATCACTTTACAATAAGGTACTACAAGCGATTGGACCAAATGGCAACCTACTGAGCACCGTAATGAAACGTAACCTGAGATGTGGCAAGTTTATTAGGGCTTGCAAAAACTGTACAAGGTACAGTGCCAGGAAGTTGAAAAGGGGTAGGCAGAGAAAGAACTGGGAAGGCAACATAAGAGAGTGGACCGGACTAAGCTTAGCTGAAGCCATGAGAGCGGCGGAGGACAGGGTTAAATGGAGGAGGATAGTGGATGGTCATCGTGCCCCAACGACCCTCAACGAGGTCAAGGGATAGGTTATGTGAAATATAAGTAATGTCTTTGTAACTTCTGTTTACTGACTACAAATTTGAAACTAGAGAAGTAACATTTGCAAAGCAAATGCATAATGTTTACCTTCGGACATGGTCTGCTCTGTTAATTTTTACTCAAACACATTCATAATTACATGTACTACTAGTATATGGTGACAGGAGTAGAGCAGACCATGAAATTGCAACATTATGTAACCCAACACGAGTCACCATGGTGACAGACGTCAACAAATCATGTCATTGGTCAGGTCAGAGGTTAGTGTTTGGAACAGAAGAGGAGGGAGAAACTGAGTAAAAACAATATGTTTTCCTTCGGTAAACATAAAAAGTACTCACCGACTCTTGTAACTTGACAGGTCAACTCCTCGCTCTTTCCCCCCTCTCCACACGTGACAGACTGGACCGTGAAGCGTATGACGGAGTTGGCGGATAAGTTTTGCTTCGGCGCCGACCACTGATGGACGGATTTGCCGAACGTTTGTTTGCTTACCTCCGCTTCAGAGTCGTCTGAGTACTGGTGAAGGGGTATCACTGTACGTGTGATCTAGAAAGATGGCGTTCAGTTATTGAGGTGTTCAAAAACTCGTATTTTCCTAGAACTATCTCAGAGTGGTACTCGTTTACTCTCCAAGCAGAGGTTGATGGTGGAAGATAGTTTGCTTTTCATACATGGCCCTTTTTTTGTCGCTACCACCACCAACCTTGGGTGGGGAAATGGTTACAGACTGGCCAATTTGATACTGTCTTACCCCCACCAAAAGATATGCTTGGAGATTAGTACTCGTTACCACCTAGCACAGTTGGGGTATCATCACTAGAAAGCTTTAAACAACTCCTGCAATTAAATGTACAAAGATTGGGTATAACAAGTCGTTCGGTGTAATATAGCTAGCTGCCGCCGCGCCACGTGCCCATGAAGCTGGTTGGGCGGTTATACCGGCTACACCGATACAGATACTCACCACATGTCCTGTAAGAATCCCACGGGTCTGTGTCGGTGATGTCCACGTGAGCCCACAACTGTCAGCGGTGACCTGGCTTTCTACAGTTGGAGCATCGGGACCTGGTGACAAGAGATCATTAATGTTCAGGGGTCAAGCTAAACGCTAAAATTGTGTCAAAATCTTTGCGCGTACAATTAGTGGCTCTAACATTGCATATAGGGCGTTTACATTGTTATCTTTGTGTGATATATGCGACTGCACTGGTTTTTCTTCGCATTTTTCTAAACTAAGGCCACACCAAGTAAATTTTATGGATGACGTCCTTTGGAGACCCTAAATCTAATGCGAGAGGGCTAAAAAAAAACAAGAAAGGCCCTAAAAAACAAGATGCCTAGATTAGAAATATACTAAGAGACGACAAATGTTAGGACACAAATTGAATGAGGTGACACAAGTGTAACAAGCAAGAAGTCTTTTATTCATCATCAAAACAGCCATAAATCAGGTGGAACAGCAGTTGTCGTCCTGTCCTGTTTTCGCGTTGCCTGTGGCTATTGACAGGATCGTCCTGTCAATAGCAGAAAATATTGCACTGCTGACAGGATCGTCCTGTCAATAGCAGAAAATATTGCACTGCTGACAGGATCGTCCTGTCAATAGCAGAAAATACTGCACTGCTGACAGGATCGTCCTGTCAATAGCAGAAAATATTGCACTGCTGACAGGATCGTCCTGTCAATAGTAGAATAATTTGCACTGCTGACAGGATTTTTCCTGTCAGCAGTGCAAATTATTCTACTATTGACAGGATCGATAAAATTTTGGTATTTTTATTTCATACTGGAAATTTTGGGGTGGGCGCTGGTTCGTGTAGGCCTTATGTAGGTGTTATTATGTATGCTATTAGGCCATTTTTTACGATCCTGCGCTGCGGCCCCTGCAGATCGTCGTGCATACATTGATCCCCCGCTCGGTAGCGCGCGCCTGGCCTCCCGTAAGCAATGCGGCGGCAGTGCGTGCCTGTCGCCCCGATTAGCCTCTACCAGGCACCGCGGATCGCTGGAAAAATAGTAGAAATTGGCCGAAATAAAGGGAATATATACCAAGGAGCTTCTCTGGCCGGCTAACTCCCTTGGTATATATTCCCTTTATTTCGGCGACAGTAGCGCTAGCCACATTACAGCCGGCGCCGCGGGAATGACACAGCGGTCCACCGGCGGGTACCCGTCGGGCTAGCCTGGGTGCCACCAAGCGCGAGTGTCTATATCCTAAGTAAAAGTCATGGGAAGCCATACTCCCGGCAGACCTACTTGGCACACTGGGTCTAATTATCTCCTCGCGCATGAGGCGATAGAGGGCTTCGCGTGGACAAAGGGGTTTGGGTGGATAATGGTAGCGGACAAATACAGTTTCTCCCGAAATCTATCGCCAAATAATAAATAAACGCCGGACTCTGGCACCCAGGGTTAACCGTCAGGCGTGCTAACAGCAACACAACAACCCGCCCCCCAGTAACACTAACCAGCGTGCCAGGCCCTGCAGCGTGCCTTTGCCGGTACTGTGGGGCCCAGTGGGGCCGGTAAAATTCGGTGGCCAGCTGGATACGCGCGCCAGGGGGCTGTTGTTGTTAGCGGGCCGGCTAGCTGAAATGCCACACCAGCGCGGTACTTGGATTTGTTCCATTTGATTTCGAAGTTGTTGAAAGAATAAATAATGGATAGAGATCAACTTCTTTTTGTCTTTTTTATTGTCTTCATCTTATGTAACTGCCTTCGTATTTCAGACAGCTTATGCATGAAATTCGCTTGTATTTATATTTTGAACATGTCTAGTTTTGACATATATCTGCTGGAGTACTCTGTAATGATAACTGTTAACGTGATGATAGCCGCCATCGTGAAACGCCTAATCTGCAGTACAGTAGCATATGCCTTCTGACTGGTTAAAAATATGAAAACAAAGAAGAAATCATGTCAATAGAGCCCAAAATGGAAGATTTAAAAAATCCTGTCAACAGTGCCAAAAATGGCACTGCTGACAGGACGATCCTGTCAACAGTGTCAAAAATGGCACTGCTGACAGGACGATCCTGTCAGCAATGCAGTATTTCCTGTTATTGACAGGATCGTCCTGTCAGCAGTGCAATATTTTCTGCTATTGACAGGACGATCCTGTCAGCAGTGCAATATTTTCTGCTATTGACAGGACGATCCTGTCAGCAGTGCAATATTTCCTGCTGTTGACAGGACGATCCTGTCAATAGCCTCAGGCTTTCGCGTTACGGGTTTCACGTCAATCTAACGATTTGCGGCATTGTCGTGACTCCTTGGTCAAACTTACAGGAAGCGGAATTTCTTGTTTTTTTTTCTAGGAACAGGCGAAAATCAATGCGCGCGCGGACGTCATCCATAAAATTTACTTGGTGTGGCCTAAAAGAAAATCCCATCATACGTACATCCGTCGCTTGTTTGGGCCACACGAGGATGACTCTCACTCCCACGGTAAACAGTGTTGATGGCCGACACCTGATCAATACATGTACGTATGAAAATGAGTTACTTAGGCCATGTTGATTTGATTATATGGATGACATCCTCCGGGAACCCCAAAATTGATGCGCGCTTGCGAATAAAAAAAAAGTTTTGACAAAAAAAAAGTTGTTTTCATTATGAAATCTACATGGTCATGAGGGTTGAACAAATGGGACGGAATATGGTTTGGCGAATAATCTAGTCTTCAAGTTCATTTCTTTACAATTTCGTCTTTTTTCGTTTGATTTTGGCATTCTACGACATTGGTATGGTCTTTTTGTAACTTACGGTATATTTTTGCTCATTTTGCAACTGTTTTGTACGATTTACAGTATGGTTGAAAACTTTTTTTTTAAACGGCCGAAAATTCATGCGCGCGCGGATGTCATCCATATAATCAAATCAACATGGCCTTATTAGTAGATAGGAACACTAAGACAGAACGCTAGTGACTTAAAGATATTTATATATTGACCAATGAATGCAGTGGAAAATGAAATACATTTCATGAGCCAGTGTCCTCACTATGAGACCGACAGAAACAGATTATTGCAAACAGTTACCACAATTTCTCTATCCTCTCATCATCTACATGCAGAAGATCACAAAACGCTACGCATTGTGCAGAACGTGGGGCTATTCATTATCCACTGCCTTCAAAGAACAACTCAAACCTCATAATAGCAAGCGTAGTGGTAGAAGTAGAAGTTTTTTTTCATACAGTAGTCACCTGTTTCCTATTATTGTATTGTACCGTATAGTATCTTTGACTCTGTAATAGCACTTAGGCCATGTTGATTTGATTATATGGATGACATCCGCGCGCGCATGAATTTTCGGCCGTTTCCAAAAAAAAAAAGTTTTCAACCATACTGTAAATCGTACAAAACAGTTGCAAAATGAGCAAAAATATACCATAAGTTACAAAAACAATTAATACAAACTATACCAATGTCGTAGAATGCCAAAATCAAACGAAAAAAGACGAAATTGTAAAGAAATGAACTTGAAGACTAGATTATTCGCCAAACCATATTCTGTGCTATTTGCTCAACCCTCATGACCACGTAGATTTCATAATGAAAAGAACTTTTTTTTTTGCAAAACTTTTTTTATTCGCACGCGCGCATCAGTTTTGGGGCTCCCGGAGGATGTCATCCATATAATCAAATCAACATGGCCTTAGCCTTCGGGCATGATTTTAGAAATAAAGACTATATGTTGTACATGTACTTGAAGTTGAACTCACAGTGACAGAGTAGTTCCGTGCAGGCTGTATCTGCGCTGAGCTGACGATGACTGTCAGGTTCTCCCTCTGCAGTCCTGATGTAACGTTCTCTCTGTGGAACGGTTCTTTTGCAGAGCCGTTGTACAGGCTGACCTGGTACGCCTGCAGCGGACCGTGTACGTTGTCCGGGCGCCGGAATTGTATGTTCAACGCCACTTGCCGAGCGACGTTAGCTGCCTCGCAGTTACAATCGTGTGCGTCTGCAACCTTGAAGACCACAGGGGCTGTCGGATCTGTAGAGGTTAATCAGAACATTATGGCGATAAGGTCACGGGTTCGATTCCTTGCCTTTTTTCTATTCCAACATTAGGCCACACCGACTTAATTTTATGGATGACATCCTCTGAAGATCCCCAAACTAGTGCGCGCAGGCGACTAAAAAAATTCAAGTAAAAAAAAATGCTGCTAAACCACAGGAATACTAATCTGTTATGGTGAATTTGCGATAGTTCATAGCGACGTATACGACAAGCCGCTACATGCTGGCCTCTCGCGGCATTATGGCACTGTACTGTGGTCTTGAGTTCGATGAAGCTTCGGTAGCCTAGGCGCCGTCCTCCGTAGTTACCACCCGCTCCTTATTGTCGCTAGCTACCACGGACTACGGAGGATGGCACCCAGGCCAGGGCCTCGTCGGAGGTGATTTTTGGGGGAACAAGCGAAAACCAATGCGCGCGTGGATGTCATCCATAAAAATAAGATAGTGTGGCCTTATTACAAGACATGGTGACGTCATACTGAACGTTTTTTTCCGAACTTAGGTTTATGCTACCACCAACGAAGAGGACAAACGCATGAACGGACAAAGACATACTCATTTTAATCTGAGTTAAGTGAGCACAAGGGCACGGTTGCATGTCAGGATTCGAACCCTGGACCTTTTATTTCCTAGCCGAACGCTCTGTTGGTATGCCACACGACTCCATTTCTTGCCTTCCTGTCTAGTCAAAAAGTGTCATTGGAAAAGCACTTTTCCTCACTTCACCTAGGTGTAAAATGGGTACCTGACTTTGGTTGGAAAAGTAAAGGCCGTTCAGGAGAGGCCTAGGGATGTGTTTCGCCTTCCAATACCTTGCTCTATATAGACAGTGGATCAACGATACACATACACTGACTCTACGGCCTCAAAAAGGCGGGACCTCAACTTTTTCCACCGAGGCAAATTACCCCTCCTTCCTCCATTCACCACCTCTTAGGAGGAAGTTCCATGCTGAAAGCTTCTTTCCAAGAACAACATTACTTTGGAATAAGCTACCTCGTGATTGCTTCCCCTATGAGTATAACCTTAAACTCTTAAAGTCTAAGGTCAACAAACATCTGTCCACTCTGGCTGTTCTGTAACCCAAAACATTTTAAGTGGCTCCCATGAGCCTTGTTTTGTGGTGACCGATGAAGTAAATAAAAAAAAGGCATACATACATAAAGACATAATGACATAATCACATTGGTGTTACAGTAAGCCACAATCAATTAGATATTTGATAACTCACAATATTCCAGTGTCCTTGTGCTGTTACAGTTGCTGAAGTCTCCTCCTCCTGCACTTGTCGCCCCCCGCACCCGGAATGTGTAGTTTGTGTACGGAACCAGGTCTCTGATAACGGTAGTGGTGCTGCCGTCTGACGTGGTAACTTCTTTTGGAGAAAACTCTAGTGTTTCGCACGTGACTGATTCCCCGTACTGGACTGTGTAGCTGCGGATGACTCCGTTGGTTCTCAGCGGAGGCTGCCAGGTCAGGTGCACGGTGTTGTGAGATATCTGCGCGGCTTGCAAACCTTGCGGAGGTCCCGGTGCTGTTGATATAGAGCACAGTTAGCGGACCTAGAAACAGCTTATTCAAAAAAATATATTTAATTTTTTTGCAGGAACAATTTAGAACCCAAGATAGGGACATGTTGTGCATAATTTTTGGGTGTATACAACTTATCATATCCAAGAAGTTTATGCAATCTAAGCTATGTTGCCAGTTTTAATATCACGTTGCTGCTACTTTAGAAGAAATAGTCAACAAAATCTATCGGGCGTTTGATACGCTTTTTTTAAGTGTCTCAGAATCTGTTGATGCGCATTTCTTAAGATTCATTATCATCATCTCAGGACAAAAGATACAAAAACCGGAAGTTCTGCTGCAGTACCAAGGTCATCCACCAGGAGGCCCATATTTGACTTTGCGGTCCTAAGACCTACCAATGTACCAAATATCATTACAATCCATAAAGGCGTTATGAAGTTATGCTGACTACAAATGTGCGGAAACACAAACACACAGACACACAGACACAATCACACAGACAAACAGACAGACAGACACGCCAAAAACAATACTTCCATTTTTCATGGAGGTAACAATTACATGCACCTTAGATAAATAAGCTATAATCTGAACTTACGTGCTTCATCTGTAGTTCCACTTGCCCATGAAGGCGGCCAACTCAATCCCAACTCATTTTCCACAGTGACTTGTACACGATAGCTCACACTGGGTACCAGACCAGAGATGCGAACAGTTCCGTTTGTGCCTGAAATTCCTGTTGCTCTCCACGGCGTGTACGGTGCCCATTCGCCGTTGATGAATCCCCTGTACCTGACACGGGAGTCGAGGATGTCCAGGTTTCCGGTCACGCCCACCGTCCACGTGACTTGTAGGGCTGTAGAGTTGACGGCGGTGACAGTAACTTTTACATCATCCGGACGTTCTGTATAAGATAATAATATATAATAACCTTTATTGTACATTCATGCCCTATCGGGCTAAGTACAGGTCAACAGATGAAAGGGTAATATACATGTTTGTAGTACAAATAGCTCTAAAACTACACTAATACAAAGGTTCGGCTTCTTCTCGTTTCTTAGTGATGTCAAAAATATAATTTGAAATGTGTTTGTTTTAATACAGGATGATCAAAGCGCATAAGAAAGATGAATTGTTCAATATTAGTCAACTATTGGAAGTACGGGAACGTACTTGTAATATATCTAAACAGATCATTTCTATCATTTCTATATAAACTACAATCAACGACAAAGTGGGCTTCATCTTCTACTTTGCTTGAGCTACAAAATTGGCAGATTCTTTGCTTCAGTGGTGTGCGGTTGTGCCATCCTGTTTCGATGCTGAGTTTATGACAGCTGATTCGTAGTTTGGTGATGGTGGTTCTTTGACGTTCGTTTGGGATTTTAAGATAATGTATAAGATAAGAAAAACACTAGGAAGGTAACATTTGCAAAGCAAATGCATCATGTTTACCTTCACGTGGTCCAGCTTTACAAACTACTGCTTTGTTCTTTATTCTTACTCAAACACATTCATATATATGGCCCCTCTTGATCATTGAACTCAGTTTTGCATGGTCCTTGCAACATTATGTAATCCAGTACCAGTTACCATGGTGACAGACGTCTGGTACTGGTCACTGACCTTATTTGTTTGGAACGGAAGAAGAGGAAGAAACTGAGCAAAAACAATATGTTCTCATTCGGTAAACATAAAAACGGTTTCATGTATTCGCTTACGGCATTCCTGACAGCAAAAGAAACAAGTTAGAGAAAGACAAAGATTCGTAGCGGTAATTATATTAGTTTCTCAAAATATGATTGGAGACGACATATCTGGGTGTCCAAATCAATTATGTAAAAGTTTGTAAGATAAATTAAACATACAACCAATAATTAATATAAGAAAAGTCCGGATTCATCATCCATGATATGTAAAAACACAAACATTTATCTTTGGCTGTCGATTTCGAATGTATAATTAAAGATTGGGGTCAATTAAAGATTGAGGTTAAGCGTGGCGTCGTGTGGCGTAGTGGTAGATCACTAGACTATGAAACGGGGAGACCCGGGTTCGATTCCGGGTCGTACCCGAACAAGTCCGAACATGCGTCCCTTGGGAAAGGTACTTAACACTTCACTCAGGTGGAAATGAGTACCTTGCTTCGGTTAGGGACGCCCCTTGGATAGGACGTCGTTAAATGGAGGTTCCGTGTTTGGGGAGAGCCACACCCCACGCACGTTAAAGAACCCACCACACCTTTCGAAAAAGAGTAGGGGCATGCCCCGGTGTGTGATGGTCCAAATACTGGTCTGGTTATTCACTACGGACTCCAGGAAGAGTAGTGTGAAATTCACACTAATGGAGATACTAAACAAACAAACAAACACGACATATAAATATCCTGGTTCCTTACCTCGCACTGTAAGCCTAGCCGCCTGTGACGTGACTGTGTATACCCCGTTAGCATTAGACGATGCACACTTGTACACTCCGTTGTCCTCACGACCCACAGATGTAATGGTCAATATGCTGGTCACCACGTTTTCGACGATACCGTTCGCTACTACTTTATATATATTTTCAATCACACTGATTTGTCCTCCAGGTGTCATAGCACTGCTGTCGTTGTACCAGGTGATCGCAGGTGTTGGCACACCTGTACTGATGCAGGTGAATGTTGCTTGACCTCCAACATCTATTGTTTGATCTAAGGGATGCTGTGTTACTGTGGCAGGCCCTGTACAACACGGAGGAAAATACCGCGTTGAATATACATTTGTACATATACCAACAGAGATAGTAACCGATTGTGATCATGAACATAGAATCTGAAGTGATGCCTCAGTCAGTATTCACTTAGACAAATTTCATTCTAGCAATCTAGTCTAGACCTAAACATCCAAGAAGGATTTATCAACGTTACAAGATGGCATAACTCTCAAGATTGAAAATTGTCTGTATGGTTGTATGAATACAGACGTAACGTTAGTAATGTATGCAGTCTGTGAAACAAACACTTGGAATTTTCTATTGGGTTTTGTCCATTCTGTTCTTATGAGATTGAAAATGAACATTTTATCATAGCTTGTCCACCATATGATGACAAACGCACAAAGCTGTTCCACCTTCTTTCCTCTTGCTCAGCGGAATTTGTTACATTTCATGCTGTAGATAAATCCAAGTTCACTCTAGAAGATAGAAGGAAGTCTGGTTCAGAATCGAGGACTTCTTTACAAGAAGAGTGAAGGAGGCGGTCTACATAAGAGCTCACAGACCTACCCTGAACAGAGACGGGGGGCGACACAAGTTACATGTATGACCCGCTACTACGGTCACGTATCTCTGACGTCACGCTCCAAGAGTAGACGGGTCCATTCCGTGAACAAGATTATTAAAAGGAGTCAGCCGAAAATTTGGGTAATTATAAGTCCCAATTCATTCCAGTGTTGGAAGGAAAGTGTAGTCTTTATTTCATAATCATATTATGACTTGTACCAACACAGATGAACTTTCATGGTAGGTCAATTCCGTTGTAACCACGTATCTGTCTGTCTGTATAGTTAAAGACCTTACGAAAGTCGCTGTACTTCTGTTGTGTCAGTAAAGTTCATATGACTAATTTAAACTAGACCGTACTTATCTGACAGGAGTTTCCCGCCCAGCCAGTCGCACATCCACCGCTACACGCTCCTGTTTCCGCGTTACAGGCTGAGTTTCCGGATAAACAGTGACAGGTTTGGGTGCAGCTTGCGCCGTACGTACCGTCCGGACATACTAGGAAAACCGCACAGAAAAAACGATTCCATTGGTTACGTTTAAAAGGAAAGAGTAAGAGTTGTCTTCTGTTGAACAAAGAAGCTTTAGAATGTCCTTGGATGAACTTGACTGTGACTGAAAAAATGCACTCAAAACTGAAAAACATATATAACAGTTTTAAAGGTGCTCAGTGTAGTTTTTAAGGTGGAAAGCCAGATGTTTCAAAGTCAATATTCTAGTCACTTATCTAAATACTAAGCCGAAACAACACCATCGCAATATGTATTGACATCCATGGAGCAAAGGTGATAACTTGTGATAGAAACTGGTTAGTGGTAGGATCCTGGACTGATGTTTGGGGTACCACCTAGAAAATAAAGGACTCATTTTGGGGGTGCGTTTCTGTGCTTTGCAGTATGAAATACTGATGCAATGTGCTAATGTGGGGCTGTATGTACATGTATCCATATCATACTGAATGCCTTATTACCTCCATGAAATGTGTCATGGAGGTTATATTTATGGGTTCACCACACCACGAAGTGGTGGTGAACCCATATTGCTTTTTCTGATGTTTCTTCTCCTCCTTCTTCTCCTTCTTCTCCTGCCATTTTTTAAATGGATTCAGCTTCTTCATTTTAGGGCCTAAGGTCCTGAAATTTGGTATGGAGGTACAGTGGGCAAATGCCCCTAGGCGTTTTTTAAATTTTTGTGATACAGGCTTTTAGAATGGTTTTATTTGAGTTTTTTGGCTGTGTTATATCAAATGTATTACTGTGTTAGTGTGCCGTGTTTACCATGAGTCATCACAATGGAATGCAGGGCATCAACCAATAGGCATGCAGCTTTCCTCTATACTTCTTGCTGATTGGCTGTTGGGATTTAACTTGATTAACACCTGCACAGAGCATTTCCACCTGCACAGAGCATTTCTTGCTGATTGGCTGTTGGGATTTAACTTGATTAACACCTGCACAGAGCATTTCCATACTGACAGTATGTCTTTATTCAAGTGTTTTGGTAGGTATTTCAAGTCTTTTCTGCTCCAGCATTGGAATGCGGGGCATGTAACGTTTTTATTTATTTTGAAAATCAACAGTTTGCATTATGCAATTAAAAATCCTAACCAATAAAGTAGGGAATAGCTATCCAACTGTTGTTTTAGTTGTATGTTACTTCATATTATAGTTATATCAATGTAAATCATTGTTTTCCCTTGTGTTTCTCATTCTTTCCCTGCCATGTCGTAAAATGTGGTGAACCCATCGCTGTATTTGCTCCAAAGCAAATATTGGCCTTTCTAGTTTCAGTTGCGTTTATCTGTCCGTCTGTCTGTTGGTCAACAAGATAACTCAAGAACGCCTGGATGGATTGGTTTCATACTTGGTTTGTTGGTAGGGTGTGACGAAAACTAGAAATGATGAGATTTTGGTCCCCCTAGTGGCTTCCCTTGGTACTGCAGCGCAACTTCCGGTTTTGATATCTCGCGATCTGGACATGCTAGGGTCATGAAATTTTGATGGAAGGTAGCTCTCGTGCTTGGGAAGAAGTCATATGAGTTTGGGCCCCCTAGCGGCTTGTTCTGGAACTGCAGGGCACTTTCTGGCGAAATGTTTAAAAGCCAATAAGTCCAGACAGGAACAACATATTTTCATTATTTTTTGTGTGTAGGTAGCTGAGAGAGAGATGTACATAATTAAATGCAAATTATGCAAATGAGGACTTTATTTGCATAATTAATGAGGAAATTCTATACAGTGTTTTACATTATACTACTTACATACATGTAATGAATGTAACCTATGGCAGGCGGAACTTCAACAGATACTAATTCTGCAAATGATGACCTAATTTGCATAATTAATGCAAAAATTCTATGATTTCGTAATGGTGAATGATGAGAATGTCATACTTGGGACATCTGTAAGTTAATCAAAAGTTAACATACATCACGATGCATATATCATGTTAATGCAGAGGTCATTTGCACAATTAAAGAAGAAATTTACATTTACATATCAATATCATATTTCATGGAGGTATGAGATCTCGGAATTCTAGTTCGGAATATTTCCAAGTTTGCCAACCTGAAAGTGTAGTTAAAAAGTGTAAAATGAATTTTGTGAATATATTACCGTCTTGACACGTCATTCCGGTCAGCCCAGGAGGACAGGTACACCCTACCGGATCCGGAACCGTCATCAGCTGGCCCTGACAGCCTCCACTGCAGCTGAACCTACACGTCTTACCGAAACGTCCGGACGCACAGGCTGTACAGAAGAAGGCATTGCAATGGTCAAAGGCGTTTGTTTTTCTTTAATGATCATTATATTCTGACATTAACACCTGAGCAAAGTGAGGAAAGTTCTTATTAGTACCTTTCCCATGGGCACAAGCTTGGTGACATGGCAGCTAGAATTCGAACCCGGGACCTCTTGGTTCTAAGCCACACGACCCCAGGCGTGTACGGAATTATATCAAGTAATGTTTTAGTCTTTTCCTTTGAGAATGTACCTTAACGGAATCAAAATCTGCACGTAACATCCTAGTACTATGTTCTACTGAAATGATATTGAAGTGACTTGATAAAAATACATCAACGAATTATTCAATTGTTTCAAATCTAGTAGCATTTGGACCCTTGGACCCACAAAAAGCGATTGGATCATGCATTACATGTATTAGAACATAGAGATAAAGTACATATAGCTATGACGAGGCCTTTTGTACATAATAATTTTTTTACCTGTCTCACAGTAAGTTCCGCTGAAGCCCGGAGGACAGACGCACTCGCCTGTCTGATCATGACACACCCCTCCGTTGTAACAGTCAGGACAGTCATTGGAACAGTCGGATCCGTACTTGTTCTCTGCACAGGCTGTAACATAAGGTGTAATAATTTGTTTGGAACGGAAGAAGAAGAGGAAGAAACTGAGCAAAAACAATATTTTCTCCTTCGCTAAACATAATAGTTGTTGTTTTCTTGTTGTCTTAAGTTTCCCATCGGGCCTACTTAAAGTTGGACAGAATTGAAACATTATTAATGTTCAAAAACTCATTACTGAATCATCCTGTGCATCAAAGGGAAATATGGAGAAACACAACCACCAACGCCTTGCTATCTGGCGTCATGTCTACATATGGTAACATAAGTGCAACTCAATGAAGCAAATATGCTAATTTTCATTAATAATTAATGTGATGATCCACCCCACCCCCACACGTCATGAGGCCATATACATCATGAGACATATAGGGGCCATATACATCAGGGCACTTCAACCGGGACGGGGGGCGATATCGACTTCAGACAACCTTTGACCCTTTGTTGACGTCACACGTGGGAAAAATCACGTGTCCACGGCATTTGGGTCAGATAGCTGAGGAAGACTGAGTGATTCAGTCGAAAATTTCTGGTGAGTCAAATTTTGAGTTGGAGAACAGTTTACGTTTTTCGTAATGTAATTTACCAACTCAGATGAACTTTCATGCAAACGTCATGAGATTATTTGAAATTGCGGCCCAAGTTTAGTACGTGATTTAACTTACCCCTAACTATGAGCCTCATGATGCCCTGCTTCCTGTCAGAATATGCCCCGTCATAGTAGCACTCATAGATCCCTTCATCTGAGGACTGGACGTTGTTGAGGTTGAGTGCGAGAGCCGTCTGACCCTGTAGGACGACTCCGTTCTTCCTCCACTCCAAGTCTCCAGTCCTGGTGGAGGCAGGGTTCCGAACCATCTCTAACGTTACCGCTTCTCCCACATTCACAGTACGGGAGAACAGCCGGGGCTTCACGTCGGCTGAAACACAAGAAATCGTAGATACTTCCAATCGTTAGCTATTAGTCGGTACGTTACATGTAAGTTAAACGTCCTAGTATTTCTGCTACCTAGTATACGCGAAGTTCTATATCTGAGGACATTTGGGGTGTTACGAAACGCCGGTAGATACAGAACATTTGGCCGTGTAGCAAAAGAACGCAATGTACATTCATTTATCAACCTGATAAAAGTATTTCAAGATTCTAGCAGTTTTGGTCTTGGGCATGGCTATCTTAACAAACAGAGAGACCGAGGAGAAACAAATATAGATGAAGTGGACCTTGATGACAACTACTGGGACTCGTAAATAGAATGGTAAATCAAAGTTCTTTGATCTCAACCAAGCATTTCTCATCTGACAATGTTTCAAAGGTCCTTCTTCTACCTACCTCAAGGCAATATAATGATAATGACTGGGCGTCATTATTTTCAATAGTAAGGCAACAGGAGGGGCATCAAAACGTTGGCAGGTGACATGTGATCAAAGAACTTTGATACTAGTATTCTTTTTTTTAAAGTTTCTTACCGTCTTCTCTCATCTTGAACGTGATGACTTTGTCAGAGACGCCGGTTTGTCGACCCAGGCAGGAGTATGCGTTAGTGAGATGTGTTGGATTGTTGTTTCTATCATAAGGCCAGATTTTCACTCGCCTATGGCGAGGACTCGATCCGCTTCCGGAATTTCTAGCTGTGGTAAACCGTTGTCCTGACCCTGTATCTAGTTCAAGCTTGATCCAATAGTCGGGACTTTCTTGCAAAAGTGATCCGGTGTAGTAGCAGTATAACCAAGTGAAATCCTGGTCCTGGAAATTTGGGTGTCTTCGGTGCGTGTCCGGATAATATGGAAACCTGCTGGTCATTGTGATGTCAGCTACTCCTGGAGTAAGGATTGCAATGAATTTTCTGTACGACTGAAATTCACAGACTGATCATCATTTTAATTTGAATTTAAAAATTTCTATACAGCACAAGTCATTCGACGGAGAATAATGCATATATATATTTTATCATTATTATTATTTTTATATTTGACGTTTTGTACACGTCTAACTTATTCTTCATATTGCCATCGGTACAGGTTTGTGTTTTAACACTACTCTCCAAGCAGAGGTTTGGGTTTGGGGTTTTTGGGCGTGTTTTTAGGCTTTTTTATTGGGGTTTCTTTTTCTGCACTGGAATGTTTTTTCACCCAAACCAGTGCAAAAAAGAAACCCCGATAAAAAAGCGTAAAAAACACGCCAAAAATAACCCAAACCTCTGCTTGGAGAGTATTTTAACGCATCACTACACAAGTATAGACTCATCTACACATGCGAGAATGAATTTATTCAAACCTTTTGTTATGTCAGACGTTAACAATTACTCATGACAAGTCAATTCACAGGTGTCGAAGCAAAAGTTCAAAGAATCCGGAACTGAGAGCCCGATAAATGTCCCTATATTAAACCTGAGTAGTTTACCTTTAAGAAATGCTAACTTGTTACCTCCATGAAAAATGGAAGTATTGTTTTTGGCGCGTCTGTGTGTGTGTGTGTGTGTGTGTGTGTGTGTGTGTATGTGTGTGTGTGTGTGTGTGTGTGTTTCCGCACATCTGTAGTCAGCACTTCAGAACACCTTTATGGATTGTGATGATATTTGGTATGCTGGTAGGTCTTAGGAAGCCAAAGGTCAAGTTCAAATATGGGCCTTCTGGTGGCTGACCTTGGTTCTGCAGCAGAACTTCCGGGAAAACAGATGTGCGGGGTGGCAGGGAAAACAGATGTGCGGGGTGGCAGGGAAAACAGATGTGCGGGGTGGAGGCAGCGCCTGCCCGGTTTGATTAATGAGGTTCTCCCTCGGGAAAAGCCTACATGACTATATCCAGGCCAAAGATGCTACTGTGTGTTTGAAACCAAAAACCTGTGTTATTTTGTTCTGTACTGTAGTGTACTGTGTAAAAACATTTAGAAAAACTCATATATTTCATGGGGGTATGAGATCTCCGGATTCTTGTTTCAAATATTATCACTACTAGTCAATAGTGCCACGAGGCCCAAGGTAAACAGAGGGACATATATACTGAATAGCATTTGAGTTATTAGTTGCAGCGTTAGGCCGACTGTCTTAGTCAACACAATGCCCCACTGTACTACTACATGTACGTTTGTCTGTAAGGTCAACATGATGCCTAAGGCATGTTCTTCCTTTTGTCAGTCTGTGTATAGGGCTGTCACACATGGACAACTTTCAATGTTTTCTCACGACCTCTCTTTCTCAGTTCGTGTTTGGGAGTAAATAGTATCGTTAGATATCATCTGTGTTGGTATGTTTGGTAAACAAGGGCTGGCATGCGCCATTGACCGTAGACATGGGCCAAGATGGATTTTTTCACGTTTTTTAAATTCAATTTTCACAGGAATGTAACAGTGTGTGTGTGTGTGTGTGTGGGGGGGGTTATAGGCCCCACCAACTGACCCGGCCAACGGGTCTAGATCTTTTAGCCGAGTGGTTAGAGCGTCGGCGTGTGGCCCGGGGGACGTGGGTTCGAACCCCGGCCCGGGACCAGGAGGGTTTTTATCTGTTTCTACTCGCTCCTCTTGTTTCGTACAGGAAGACAAACATACAGACATGCACGGCACAGGTACTACATCAAAATAAATAAACACAAAATAATACAAAGTACGAAAATATGATTGGAACCTATTCAGTAATCATAGTTGATAACAATTTGAACGTAATGACTTGAAACACAGAATATCTTGCTTTTGTAGGATTCTACTCCGGATCCGGGTGATACAAATGAGTTTCTATGTTATATCAACATGCTTCGGGAAAATGACTGTAACCCACTGAGGCATGTCACAGGCGTGGGTAAATTTCTACCAGCATTTCACTTAAACCAAGACAATATTGGCGCTATCCATAGTTTGTTTGTATCATTTTCTTGAATGTTGATGTATTACCCACAATGAGCAGTAAAGCATGTAAATTTTGCAAACCGGAAGGTTAGTCTAGGTCTATTCTTCACTCATGTACAATGTTCCTCATTAGTCCCCATCAGACTAACAACGGGGGTTCGAAAAAAGTAGAATTTAGCCAGCGTAGAGTTCATTTGACGGACTGACTCTCTTGGGCACTGAACTATCCCCCCCCCTTTTTTTTACCAAATACGATCCGTATCCCCGTAAGAAGGCCTAATGGAGGCTAGTTCCTCATTATCTCCGCATGTTGTAGGCGATAGAATAGAAGTACACATAGCAGAACCTCCCTGTATAACCTAGAAACCAGACTATAGCCAAGATCTACACTTCCTACAGTCTGGCTTCTTCATCTTCATCTTCATATTTGCTTCTATTCTGATCTTCGGGGCAAAATCATGGCAATGCCTGACTGGTCCCAAATATCTGAACGCACAAATCTTGGGGGTCAGTCATGATCAGAAACCCGGTCATGAGTTTGCAATATATGCCCCCGAATATCTATTTGGAGATTATTTTCTGTATTTACTTCCTTGTGACGTCATGGGAGTAACCTAGCCTCTACCAGGCTTCGGGAGGCGACTGGAAAGAGTAGAAATCGGCCAAATAGAGAGATAACATGCCAGGGAAGGTTTGTCTGCTGGGAGAGAACATTTTGCCGCGCTACTCTTTCCAGCCGCCTCCCGAAGCCTGGTAGAAGCTAGGAGTAACCCATTCTTATTATTCAGTGACTTGGCCTACGTTCAGTTATACACCATTCTAGCCGCGGACATGACTCATCAGAAATAGAAAAACAAGATACATTCGACTTCCTTTTTAATTTTCAAACTGGAAATTTTGACGTTTTTGTTGTTATGCAAACCGTCGGCCATTTTCGAACTCCTATGACACTGCAGTACATTATTACAAAATTGTTGCCAAGAATTCAAGGAAGTAGGTGCAAAGGATAGATCACAGTGGATCGTTTCAAACTCTGTGTATCTCCTTGAAGAAGTTATAAGAACAGATAACACTGTTCTATAAAAGACAACACATCACTTAATACATCTTTAAAACATTCCTAAAACATCATAATAAACATCGCCCTGTACAGTACTAGAAACACGCCTCTGTACAGTGATATGATATGAGACATCTGTCAATTTTGATTGATAGGAAATGGATCGGGAAAGATTGTGTGTGTGAAAATTTTGTTACATTTTTTTATCGCTTACAATGGCTTACAATGGATGCGGAAATACATGTACTGAAATTGATCATATCTAGATGTGTGATAGCAGCAAGCGAAAGGAACCAGCATCATACATTATATTTCCGTGATATTTCTTGTGAACATTGTCACACCTCAAATATTAATCCCATAAATTTACATCATAAATCATAGTGATATGCCGAAAAACGCCTCCTTTAAAAAAATTCCAAATCAAGTTCCTGTTTTTTCTCCCAGTATCTGTTCCCATCACTACAAACACATCTGAGCCCCCTAACACATATTACGCTTGTTGGGACAGTGTCTTTAGTATTGGGGAGGGGACCATGGTGTTATATATTTTATACACGGATTGACATTTCAAAACATGAACACCTCAAAGTATATGGAAAGAAACTATCTTTCGACTGTTATCCTGTCCTAGCGAGAGTTACCAAATTCTGACAAAGTACATTTCCGTAAATAATTTCATCAGGTTGGAAGATACTTAGGGTATAGAATTTTCTTCTTACACAACCAGTAAGGTTCTCACCTGCTTACGTTGCAGAACTCCAGTCAGAAGCTCTGAGGAAGGTGTCTGATAGACATCGAAACGTAAGCAGGTGAGAACCTTACTGGTTGTGTAAGAAGAAAATTCTATACCCTGACAAAGTACAGTTTAAGAGCTCACGTAACATACCTGAGACCGCTGGAAACAGGCAGAGTAGTACACCGAGAAGTGACATGGCACGTACTAATGTCTGTCCTTTACTGGTCGCACGGAATACTTCCATGGCGCAGAATACAGCTTCACTCCACTCTGACTGAATCGGGAAATATTTCCTCAGTCCTGTCTGTGTACAGGACTTCCCCTTTCTGTGACAATCGCCTAAGCACGAGCGCTCTGCGTGGGCTGGGTTTTCTGTAATCACTTCCTTGTATGACGTCACAAGGAGCGATCTTACTCGACGGGTGTGAGGTCACAGTGTTTCCGCTCTGATTAGTGGACAGCCGGGGCTACTAATTCACCAATTTCACACTTCCCATAATGCCTAGTAAAAGTCACGGATATGACGTAAGACCACCCCCTCCCCCTTCCTCGATGTAATATTTCCAACAAGTTCTATCGACAAACTGGTCAACTATTGTTTTGAATTATTTCTCTTGTATAAAGCGCATGCCATAATTGCATTTTTGGTGGAATTAGAGGAAACGACGTACCTTCTATCGTTCTAATATACGTAATGCGACCGTGCGAGTAGGAGAGTCTTCGGTAGAAGGTAGAACGATAGAAGGTACGTCATTTTCTCTAATTCCAACAAAAATGCAATTATGGCATGCGCTTTATACTAGAGAAACAATTCAAAACAATAATTGACCAGTTTGTCGATAG